CTGGTGCAGACTCCATGGGCCAAATGGTCTCTTTCTGCACTGTAGGGATTCTATGAGGTTTTCGATTATGAAACAATAACTTAAAGCTATGTCTTTAAAAAAAGGCTGTTGACCGCAATTCAAACAATACAGACAAAATAAAACTTACTCCTTTTCACATTTCTCAAACAGATTTTTTCCACTTTCATATTTCAAAATATGAAAGTGCCTGCATCATAAACAAAGACAGTCTTTTCACAGGGCTGTGCAAGATAACCAAACAGTTACCAAAGTATATTAAAAATAAATAACTCAACACAATCACTGTTTCACCAGATATTAATTGCATAAATTATCTCTGAATATCCAAATTGCATTTCAAAAGTGGACTGATATCTTCTTTTATCCAGTCCAACATATTGCAGATAGAGTAAAGCATTGCAAAATTGTTCTAAAATTGTTGCCTCTGTAGCTGTACAAGTGGCCTCCTTCACACAGGAAGAATAAGGCCTCCCTCTTCTCCTTCATGGGTACCAGACCTCTGGCTCCTCTGTGGTGTAATGGCACACTTTGGCTCAAACTTTCTCCCTCTGGACAACGAGCAAATTCAACTGCCTTAAGTCTCTGACACACATTTCCACTTGTGCCTCTACTAGGGTTAAGTGTATAGGAAACCTGGCTCAGTATCAGTTAAAAACTCAGCCGCATTATAAAACCTGAGCTTCAAATAGATTCCTTGTGAAGGCAGGTTTCAGACAGATAAACGGATGCTATTCCTATTTCCCACCTACTCTACGTATAATGTGGAGCTGCCAGTGCTGGACTGAGGTGGACAAGGTCAGAAGTCAGACGACACCAGTTTATAGTCCAACAGGTTTATTTGAAATCACATGCTTTCAAAGCATTGTGCCTTTGTCGCCTGAAAGCTTGTGATTTCAAATAAACCTGTTGGACTGTAACCTGGTATCGTCTGATTCCTACGTATATTGAAGTCTGCATAAGTTGAATTTGGGAAAAGGCCAAGAAAACTGACTCAATGATACAGAGAATAATTACTTCGGAAGTAATTACCAGGGAATAATCTCACTGAGAGATTTAACTGCCGCATAAACTAAAGGAGCAAAACTTGAATGATTTATGAATCAGCTTTGGAGTGTAAGATTGAAACCGCTGCAGGTTAAAAATAAAAACAAAGAACTGCAGATGCAGGAAATCTGAAACAGAATGTGCCGGAGAAACTCAGCAGGTTTGACAGCACCAGGAGAGAGAGAAGCAGAGTTAACAAGTCAGTCGCAACATTAACTCTGTTTTTCTCTCACTCTTCTGCTGGTTTAAAATAGCTGTGTTTTGCTGTGTGCATTGAGGGATTGGTCAACACAATTTGATTTTGTGCGCTCCTTTACGAGCCTTAGGTATAACTGTCAACTTGACAATTCATAAACAATATATGCGATCAGATTTTCACTGAAATATTTAAATATTTTCACATACTCAAGAATTATCTGAAGTTGGTTACGTTAAAATAATAGCCAGTAAATATGACAGATAATAATGGGCGATCTGAAGCTGAAATCTAATTATGGGGTTTAGAAGTAGCCATTAAAAAACAAAGTTCCAACGGTTTGCAGTTATATAACTTTCAAATTAGATTAGGCTTAAAATCCTACTCAAAATACACTGCCTTTGTTTTGTACGACGTGGAGGTGCCAGTGATGGACTAGGGTGGACTTTGTTTTATATGGGAGATAGCAATTTTGTGTCAGTAACATGCCCTCAATCATAGACATGTAACACTAACATTGAGGAAGTAATGTTTACACCCATAACAAAAAATGATTTGCCATCAATAAACAGAAAACTGAAATAGTAAGTAATCAAAATAATACTAAATAACAATATCTCTTCCATAACAGCCTCTGCTCACCTTTATCTACCTGATCAGCGTATCCGTTATTCATTTTCCCTCATGCACTTACCTAGCTTCCCATTAAATTAATTTTAGTTATTGGCCTCAACTGCTCTTTGAGGTGATACGTCCCATATTCTAATCACTTTCTGGGTGAACAGGTTTTTCCCTGAAATCATTACTGGATTTATAAGTGACTACCTTGTATTCATATGTGATCTCTAGCAGTGAACTTGCCAACGGTGGAAACAGCATCTCAATCCTCACAATCATTCATAATTTTAAAGATCTCTTTGAATCACAGGACAGTCTTCTTGTTCCTGTAGAAAAACTACCCAACTTGTTCAGTTTTTCCTGGTAATTATAACCACTCTGTTCTGTACAATCCTTGTAATTTTTTTTGTATCATCTCCAGTAGGTTTATTCTTTTTTGGTACATGGAGAAAGAAATTGTGATTGAGTCAACTGACTTTAGGGTACTAAAGAAATTAAGGGATATAGGAAGGTGCAGTTGAAGCTAGAGCACGTTTTGAGGGGCCATATGGCCTACTCCAACTCCTCTTTCTCACGTAGGAGCAAATTACTGCAGATGCTGGAATTTGTACTGAAAACAACAAATGCTGGAGATCACACTGGGCCAAGCAGCATCCAAAGGGAGAGAACAAGTTAACGTTTCGAGTCTAGGTGACTCTTCATCAGAGTTGGATCCTATTTCTCATGCTGTTGTACATTGATTAAGTAGGGCAAAATGAAGATAATTATGTGCTTTTTATTTTATGTGATTAATTATGATAGAGAGCAACTGGGATCCATTTCCAAAACATAAGTAAACATTCTCAGCCAATATCTTAATATCCTGAACATTCAATATTGTTTTACTTATTATGTCTTGAAATCATCCGTAAGCAATGTGTAATGCCATTTTAATAACTTTGCACAGTTTAACCAAATAACCTACATTTGTCTCGGATTGTTTGGAACAATTTAATTAATGGCCAATTATTCAATCTTGCATGTCTATCATTGTGTAGTAAATCAAGCTGTATACAAAGATGCACAGTAACAACATACTTATCTAAATTGCAGATTGAATTGTTCCGACTTAAAGAGTTGTAACTCCTATAGACCAAATAGACTATGCATTCTTCCTGGATCCCTTAGCAAAAATCAAAATCTCTCTCCAAAATACAAACAGAAAATGCTGAAAATATTCAAGTCTGCAGAGGGAAACAGGTTTAATATTCCAGATTAATTTCTGAAATGTAGCTGTTCCTGTTATTTTATTTATTGTTACTGTTTGTTTTATTTCCAGCATTTTCTGTCTGTATTTCGTATTTCTGGCAGTTGTAATATATTGCTTTTTCACAAAATGTCATTTCTTTCTGGTAGTTCAGGAAATTCCGGGCACTTTCACTGTCAACGTGTTAATGTTACGGTTTTACCATTTTCAGTTATAATAATTACATTTTATTTTTAAGAACTTCATACTTCAGATTAAAATTACAGCAGACATATCAAACGCCAAGATATAGCCCCATAGTGCTCGCTACCACACTTAATGAGCTCCTAAACTCAACCATGCAAGGAAGAAGTCCAACTTAGATCAGCTCCTGTCTGAGCAAGAGCATAAAATTGAAAGAGCTGACGGCAATCCACTGCACTCCAAGATAGAAACCTGACTTTCACAGTTACAGCCTACCCTCTGGCTGTAGAATGTGATGGCTCAGGTGTTGTATTAATCTATCACTCTATTAGGTTGTTAGGAGAGGAAACGATCTAGATTCCTCAGGAATTTCAACTTATTTTCTTCAATACAGCAAAAAAAATCCAGAACCACTGAAACTGCAAGAGGAATATAAAAGAATAATCAGGTAAAAAGGACCTAAGGGTGTGATTATACTAAAACTATGGTGTTGCTGCAACAGTTTCCACTTTACCATGACATGAAAATTTTCAGTATAACTTGAGATCAAAAAGCAGCGTCATTCTTCAGATCAGTGACATGCCAATCTTAGTATAGTTTAATACTCTATCTACACCATAAATTTCAGTCATGAACTTTGGTTCCAGCAAGATTTGATTTCTTGAAATAGTAACAACCACCACTTTAACTCCTTTATATAATGAATATAAAAAAGTGAGCGTGTATAATACCAACCATTTATTCTTGTCTTACAATAATGTGTTGTAACATATGTTTCAGAATATATTACTTAAATTACTGATTAGCCAAATTAGCTATTAAGAAAATACTGCTGCTGTAGCAACATATACTTAATATGTTTAAATGTTGCCATGAACTATTTAACAAATTATTTTTGAAGAATCTCAAAATAGGATGAAGTTAAATTTCTTACGTTAGAAAGACTCAGGATGACAGAAACACAGAATGACAGAAACACATCATTCTCTAAACAGAACATTGATGGGTCCAACATCCTCCCAAAGGAACACCACAGGATCCAACATTCTCCCAATGGATCAATACAGGATCCAACATTCTCCCAACAGAACAGAGTGAATCCAACATTCTCCCAACAGATCACTACAGGAACCAACATTCTCCCAACAAAACATTAATGCTTGTAACATTCTCTGGGTGAGTAATCGCCCCCATTTAAGTGGGAAATGCATGAAACTGAACTACCCAGAAAGATTTTAAATGGGCTGAGTGAAATGGCACTATCAGCACTTTGTATTTCTTTATTAGGCGGCAGCTTCTGTTGCAGTATTTTATCGGAGTTTTAGTCACTTGATCTGAACGTAACATATTAACATTGTTTTATAACTTAGATACTTTTAACTTTATTATAAACAGTTGTAATTTGACGTGGGGTCTTGAATGATTTCCACTCTGGCTTTTGCACACCTTTAGTTAAACAGGTGTTGGCTCCCAAGAAGCATTTCTCTTTTTTTTATTCTGACATAAACATACCATGCAAAAAAAAAAACACACGAAACATCACAGGCTCCAGAACGCAAATCGACACTATCCGGGTGCAAGCGATGCAAGTTAAGCAACAGTTGGTGCACAACGCTGTGCAACACCTCCCCCCGCCCAACTGCGAGAACTCATGCGCCCCCGTTCTGACTGTCCGCCTGCCTGGGGGATTACCTGAGGAAGTGACCGGTGTGTTGGGGTTGGAAGTCAAGCTGGACCCTCCAGTGCCCAGGGCGCAAGAGCTGTTCGGGGTTGCATTCTCTCTCTTGATAAGCAGCTCCGCGGCTCCGGGCAGTGGAATTGGTCGGCTGATGCCCAGCTCTTCCTCCTGAGCCTGCTGTCTCCTGAGGGCCACCTATAAACAAAAGAACAGCCAGTTCAGATGGAGGAAAAGGTCTGACCGTACCCTTCGTACCAGCGCCACGTTCTGATCCCAATCTTGGTCGCCGATTTACCTCTAGATAAATTTGTTATGAATTTATCATTTATCATCAACCATCAGTTGATTCGCAACAAAAACAGGAAAACGAGTTTGAACGTCAAATTTAAAATCTGAAAACGTCGGTTGTAAATAAACTTTGAAAAAAATGCAATGACTAAGATCTTACGTGAAAATGATTTGGTTTGAAATGGGCAATCTCTGCAAAAACTCCACAACCGTACAGATCGCTCGTTAAATTACAGAACATGATCGGAAACAATCTAATGATTCAAATGATCTCGCATTACTTCAGTGAATACATTATAAATAGGGCTAGCAGCAAATTGACCCATTAGCCAAAACCAGTAGAGTTTGACGGACGCTCCGAAAACGGAGCTAAAAATCTTGCTTTATTTACTGGTTTACAGCGATTCAATTTCACATCTACCTTAAACCCTAGTTAACAAACCGTGACATTCGTACGAATCGAACGAAATTTAGCACGGACAGTGCTTCAAATTATAGTAACATTAATATTGCTTTTTTTAAATTTAAAATTATTCCTTCGCTTGATTTTGTTTCATGTCCCTAGGATCGAACAGCAAAATAACATCATTTCATTAAACACCGTCAGTTTCAAGTTGTTCATTCGACGTATTTTTTTTCGGTGACTGCACCGTAAAGGTATTTGTGCAAACAGCAATATGCTTTAAAGCATTATTTATACAACTTTGAATGTTGCAAACCACAAAGTTATGCAACCAGCATGACTGATTCTACTACAGATGCGTTGAGAACCTAAAGCAAGGTCGTGTCTTTTCAGAGCTATTAAAATTCTTTCGCCGCCAGTACTTAACTGGAAGAGAAAATCCAGACTTCTGAAACTTTCCGCGTGGATTTAATATTCTGCAATAGTGACAATGTTACTGCAATCGTTCTTGTCAAATCTCTCATACCCGGGGTCATTCCTGTTGTTTTAGATTTATTTGCATTATTAAATTTGAAAATAAGAGAATAAAAAATCACAATGGGATTACTCAGCAGGTCTGGCAACAGTAGTCCCTGACTATATTCCAGCACCCGAAGTGATTTTTGCTCTTACGTTTATGAAACTCTGTATATATTTTTGTTCGATGCAATGGTTAGTTTAGACTTATTTGAACACAGTTGTATTGCAGTAACGAGTCTATGGTGAGACTCGAGCTGAGAGCAGATTTTGTTTCTTTGATTTTGCAGAGGCAGATCGGCGCACACAGAACCCCCACCCCACACAGACACAGACCCACACACACATAGGACCCTTCCCCACAGACACCCACATACACAGACCCGTAAATACAGACCCACACACACACGCTGACCCCCACCCACACAGACACACACATATATAGGAGCCCTCCCCACAGACAGAGACCCACATACACAGACCCCT